AAGACTAATATGCATATATAAAAAAAAGCTATATTTTCAAATTGTAATTTTGATTATATAATATTATATAAAATTAAACTAAAACTGTATATAAAATACAGATAACTCTAGTAGATTTTTTTTAAAATAATAGTTACAATAACTGTTAGGTTTTAAAACTATAAAAAAAACTAAAACTAGCTAACTAATTAACTAATATAGACTTGTTTTAGTAGAATTAATAAAAATTAAAAAGAAAAATACTAAGTTAAATAATTTAAATAAATAAATTTTTAATTAAATTATAGGTATAGTAACTAATATAGAATCTTTAAACAAATTACTTAAATTAGACAACCAAAAGTTGTACAAGTAACTAGTTGTACTTTTACTATTGTAACTAAATTAAAAATTTTCAAAAGCCTTTAGAATTTAAAAATGCTATCAAAATTCTATATAATACAAATCAAAATTATATAATATAAACTAGAGATATTATTTTTTAAAAAAATTTAATTTTAAAACTATATAATATATATAATTTTGTATTATAATTAAACTACTATATATAATATTTAGTTAAATATATATTCTTAAATAAATACTTTATTATACTTTAAATTTTTTTAAGAGTTTTCTATTTTATTTAGTAAGTATAATACGTACTTAGTATAAGAAAAAAAATCAAAAATTCTTAATCTTTCAAAAATTTTCTAGAGTAGCCATATATAGTTATTTTAAGTAAAATTGCTTAACATCTAGTTTTGTATATAACTATACATATTTCTAAGTTTAATTTTATTATTAATTATACAAATAACCTTAATAATAATATTAAAATTATAAATTATAGGCTTTTAGTTTATATTATGTATTGCTTTACAATATTTATTTATTTGAAATTAAACCAATTTATTACTATTTGAAAATTTTTACTTAGTACTAAGCATTTTTGTATTCAACAAATCATAATATTAAAGAATATTGAAATCCAATTATAATTGGTTGCAAACAGCTAATTAATTATAATTAATAATTTCAAATAATTATTATTACTAGTGATGTTGATAATCGATTTAAATCAAATTAATAATAATTGATTATAATCAATCTTTATAAAAATTGATTTTAAACAATAAAATAAAATAAGCCGATTATAAATAATACTTTTCAATTATATTAATTGTAATCAATTATAATCAATAAATTTCAATTATATTTAGTCATCAGTAGTGATAATTATCGATTAAAATCATCTGATTTAATCGATTACGATCAGATCTCGGAATTTTCTGATGTAATATCCAAATCGAATGTTCCAATATTGTAATATATTATCTCTGAATACAGTAGTTGAAATAATACAAGTCGTGCAAATATTATATTGATATGGCACTGATTAATGACTCGAATCGTGTCATTTCCAGATCATATCAGAACCGATAGAGCTATCAGTAAAGTATCAGAAACTTGATAGCTCTTACTTTTACCAATAGCTCTAGCAGTTCTGATATGTGCCTGGAAATGACATATTCGAGCTATTAATCGGTCCGTATCAGGGCTGAAAAATGAGATATTACCCGATATGCTTTATTTCGACCAGTGCTTCATCCACGACAATTATTTAAACTAAAGAAAAAATTAAAATCTAAAAAAACCAATATTCATTTTTATACTATATTAACAATTATCTCTTAAATTATCTGGTTTAATATACTGAACATTAAAATTAAAAAGAAATAGAATTTTGAAAAACTTTTTATAAATCTTTGTTTTAATTGGTTATAAAATTCTTAAAAACTTAACGTGGGCCGAATAATGTCCTATCAGGATGATAAAATTATGAAATTTTTCTGATTTGTCAAGAATACTAAACCTGATTGGTTTCAAGTAATGGGGTTATTCGTGACAACTTTAGATAGATGTCGGTAAAAATCATTATAATTAAGAAAATCATAAGGGGAAGCGGGCTTCCCCGACGATTACTGATCAATAGCACAATTATTAGCGGTTTCAGATAGGCATCAGAAAGGTGAATCACATAATTTGGGTTTCAGAATTAATGACTTGTCTTCTGATTTTGGATAAAGTAGACGATTTATTTTATTTCGAAATAAGTAATATATAAATTTTATTTTATGATTGCAATAGTACATCAAAGCAGAAAATTTTATAATTTTTATAAAGTAAAACTTCTATTTCATTTCCCGACTTTAAACGCAAATAAGAATTTTAAGACCCATATAAGTTAATTTTGAAACCTTCTAATTAAGCAAATGGGAAAATTATTCCGCATTTATATACATATAACTTCATGACGTCGTTTTACAACTTATAATCACTGCTAAGGATTGGAAAATTTTCACCCGGGTATTATCAAATTACCTGAGTTATCCGGGTAATTTATTATATATTTTGAATGGTCATATAATAACGAATTCTGTCCGGGCCAAATATTTAATCACTACTTTAATAAATAGAAGGCGCTAGTTTTTGAAAACACTTGCTATTTCCCTGGTTTACCGAAGAAGCGTTTTCGGAAACTTATTTTTTCATTATCGAAGTAGTGATTATACAAACGAAGAACAACACCCTTATTTCCTACTATGGGAAAATAATACCGACCATATGATGGCGGCGTTTCGGGTCATAAGTAACCAGTGATTTACCTCCTTATTCTCGCCGTTATGGGAAATAAATAGTACATACCAGCTGACCGCACGTGCTTTGCTACATGAGAATATAAATGGGTTTACAAACTATTTATTTTTATATTATCAATAAAAAACCGTAAGCAGACAGATTTCCCCTTCAAAAATTCTTTATGATAGATTAAATATTAATAAAGTTAAAATAATCATAATTCTAAGTTGAGTAATTCATTTTTTTAAAGTAAAAACTTCTTAAGTATTATTTTTACTAAAACACACTGATGGTATTTACACCTGTGTATACATTACGTACTTAAAAACTAACTGCTATGTAAGGCTCTAAGTAAAAATGAATGTCGCTAAAAGAAACCCCGAAAATTTAAATATAAGTTATATTTAAATTTTCGGGTTTTCTTTTAGCGACATTCAAATGTTCTATACCCCCAAGACTCTTTCCAAACCTTAAATATAATCCTGATACTAACCTTGACGTGAAAAAAATTGAGTTAAAATTTTATATTCAAAACATAAACTTAGAAAAAGTATTATAAAAACATATATTATATAAGATATACTGTAATAAGCGTAAGCAATCATAGGTGTGTTATATAATAAATGATGTTTTATATAATAAATGATGTTTTATTAACTTATTATAGGTTAGTATTTTGGTCCACTAAATATAAATATTTTCTCCTAGGGGTATTCAAAATGTTGTACATTAATAAAATTTCAAAACTCTTGAAATATAATTTTTTATACTATTTCCACGTGCATTACTTCAAAAAAATTACCGCAAATTTTTTATCCCTAATCTTAAAATTTGGCTAATACGTGTTAATTCAAATATTTATCGGTCTCTGTCTCTGGTTTTGAGATTTTTCACATAGTAACGTTATCTTTTGATGTTAAAAGGAGTATTAATCTTTACGACATGTTGCATTTTCAAAAAGTAAAAGTACTATCCCTTACGCCGTCTCATAGCAATAGTTTAAAATGAACTGTGAATATAGACTACGATTCTAATATAGTTTGATAGTTCGACCACAGATCAACTACAATTTGCAGGCGGATTTACCTGTAAGACCATGTAAGAAATATTAAAAGGTATGTTATAAATGTAACTGTAAATAATTGACCAATCAAAAAAAAATACAAAGTGTTTGAACGTAGGATTGGATGCAAATATGCAGTAATTTTTCAATAGACCTTGTTTAATATAAAAATTTTCAATTGTTAAACATTAATTAATTAATTAATATTCGTAACGGCTGTTACATGTAACAGCCTAGCAGTTAGCCAATAATTTTAGTTTTAGAATTTGGTTGCACGTATTTTTATTGGTTGTGCTAAATAAATTGTTACATAACGGCCCGTTACAAATAGTTTCGTTCTAAAAATATATACTATTTGTTTTTTAAAATTAATGGTATTAAACTATATGTTAACATTTATACTTTATATAAAAACCAAACTTTTGATAATATATACTGTAAAAAAAGTTCTTTTTATATTAATTTTAAACCAAAAAAGTTAAGGTTATAGTTTAAAAAAAGTTCATATAAAGCTTTAAATATATTTACTCTCCAAGTACTAATGATTTTTTAGATTATATTGCAAAATAAAATTCAACAATTATTTTTAAAGTATATGCCATATTAAGATATACTGGAAATTGAATTTACATTAGTCATCTTAGTCTATAAGATTAGATATCTATAATCAAAAACACAATCAATCAAAGACACAATTGAAATCACTATTAATAATAGTACTTATTAGAAACGTCACGTAAGTACGTACGTTTATATCGTTATTCATTATTTATTGTTTTCAAGTTATTGTTGATGATGTTCACGGTTTTTTTTAAACAGGTTCACGCATTACTTATATTGTTTACATTGTTCCGTCGCACATTTCGATCAACTGATCAATAACTCTTACCAAATTCAGCTAGAACAAGTTTTTGTGTAGTGTTACACAACACGTAAGCACAAATGATCTGATTAATGATCAACACCCTTGATTTGGTCTTTTTACACCCCTTGCATAAAAATTTATCATATAAATTGTATAAGACTGATCTATGATTGATTTGATACTTTTTCACTCTTGTTTCACTTTATTTGCTTCTTATAACGTGGATGCTTTAGTTCATCCTCATATACTCAAAATATTGCTCAAAGTTTGCGTGTTTTATTTGAGGTCTCGGACGGTAAGTATTTTTAAAAAAAGTTCAATATATGTTGTTGAAAGTTCTCGTAATGGTTTTCTTTGAAAAATTCCTTTGCGTCAACTTATTACAACGATATCGTAAGTTATTATTATTTTCAAAATATGACCTTACTTATGTAGTTTAGACTTTTTAATATGGCAAGGAAAAAGAAACAAGAAAAATTAAGTGAAGACGAGGTATATGCTGCTGTGACAATTTTAGAAGAAAAATATGATGAACGTAATTCTGTAATGTATTTAGTAAAGTGGGCGGGAAAAGATCAGAATGGAAATGAATGGGAACCAACTTGGGTATGATTGATTTTTGGTTTTCCTATGATTTTTTCCGTTCTTATAAAATTATAATATTTAATAACTTGGGTTCTATGTATTTTTCAGGAACCCTATGAAAATTGTGGAACTCCACTCATACGTGAATGGGAAGAAAATAAAGCGCGTAGAAATAATGGTGAATTTGGGAATCAAGTGCAAAACAATATTAATACTATGATAGTTAATGATGGAAAAAAGGATTATAAAGACGGAATGTTTGGCAATTATGAAAGAATTGACAACATTTATCAATTACGACAAATAAACGGAAAAAAGAAAAAACCACATCAGCTTAATGGTACTCCTACTGCTACAGAAGACGGAAATATAGTCGTTGGAAGAAGCTTATCTTGTGATAATGGTGATCGAAATAAAGATATTATTGTTTCTGAGAGTTCTCGGATTCCAATATCTAAAAGAGTCATACTCCGAAAAAATTCTACGAAAAATCTTGAGTTAGATGTTAATCGTAAACATAACGTTTCTTTCAAATCAAGACAAGTAAACCTTTACAGAAGTCTTTCAAGTAAAGGCAAAATATTCGCTCATTCTTCTAGTCTCATGTCGGATAGTTCTTGTGATTCAAGTGATTCCGAACAGGAAAGTCTCTATATGAATGGAAATAGCACTATTCAATTTTATAAATATCCGCTTCGATCTCGATCTGGCAGACTGTCGATTACTAGGCGATTGGATTGTTCATCCATAAGCAAGCGAAAGGTGTCTCTACGTTCGTCAGATGCTCATATCTCCGAAGATCTAGATTCTCGAAAAAAATTACGGTATGATGAGGATTCTTACAGTAGCGAAGAAGAAATTTTATGTTCAGGCCAAGTTTTTACTTGCAGTCCAGTTACATCAATTGTTACTCATACTAAAAAAAGTGATGCCAATATCGACAATTTACAAGTATCACCAATACCAAAATCGATAAATGCCAAAGTTGTTGATAAGCCGGTTTCAAATTCTACTCCTCAAGACATTATCAGCTCTCCTACTAACGTTAATATAAATGGTTCTCAGGAACTTGTGCAAAAACCTTCAAATGATTCAAATTTGGGATCTACTGCTGCTAATGATGCTAGTTCATCTTCAAGAAAGCAAACCGATAATCATAATTCTATTCAGAATAGTAAAACAGGTCCTGCAACATCAACTAATCAGTGTGTAAATATAAATGTAAATACGCAATCTACTGAATCATTACTCTCAATTGCTCCTAAACCAGTTCAAACTGCACGATCTGATGCTAATCTGAGAACTACTCAAAAGCGTACACAGCCTAAGACACGTAAACTGCCCTTGAAAACGGATGCTGTAAAGAGCGTATCTCCATTAACTGTTAATTCATCAAATCCCCCAATTTTGCCAAAGCCACCAACTTCCACAAATCTTATTCCAATTATAAGATCAACCTCACTAATGAATAATAATGCAAATGTACGTTCTGTTCAAAACAGAACAATTAGACCAAATAGTGATTTATATTCAAATCCAAATTTACCAGATGATAATTATAAGGTAAAAGATGGTCAAAATTCGGTCATATTAGCTGATCATGGTCAACAATCAAGAAATACCCTGCATTCAACATCGACAGCTCATAAGTCGTTAGGTGTATCACAGGCAAATCCATTAGGTGTAGGCGTAAGTAATTTACAGTTAGAAAACCCTGTAGTTACAACGACTACTACAAATTGTAATACTACGTCAAACCTTCGAAATAAAACTAATATTCCATCTTATCAGGAAAGCAATGTAAGTTTGATTTTATTTTATTTATAATTTATTTTATAAATACGTTCAAACGTTATACTTATTTGTAAATTTCTAACTTTATAATAGAGTGCTTCAGAACAGCGGAATATGAATTTGCAATTAGATGAACAAAGAAAAACTATTGAAAAACAAATGGAAGAGCTTTCAAAAGCGCAAAGAGCATTGGCAGAAAAATCTGAAGAATATGAACAATTGAAAAATACTATGAATAACATGAAAACTGATGAATCTTTAAGACGAGAGAACGAATCCCTGAAACAAGAAAATGAAATGTTAAAAATGTTTTGGGCAAAACTTATTCACGATGGGACTGTATTTAATCAAAAGGACTATGATAAATTGTCAACTATGTGTGCGTTGATTCAAGATTTATACAATCAAAATGACAATGTTCTCGGTCAATATCAAAAGGCACAAAGCACGTCTACTAGTTCTACTAATTCTGTTAATTCTAGTTCTGCTAGTTTTACTAGTTCTAATAGTCATTCATCAGTACCTGTTATATCATCACGGAATGATGGCGATATTAATGCCTGGAAACGAAATGATCAGCTCCTGCGTAGCAAACTTCATCAGTCTCAATTGGAGGTTTTACTTTTAGAAAAATCTTTGCAGATGAAAGATGAAAATGAAAAAATGTATCAACGCGCTGCCAAATTAGTCCTTGATCTCAAACTTGAGCCTCTGAAAAGTTGCATGGAATTGCAGAATAATGTTAGAGCGTTAATTCCTCCATCATTGATTACAGAAAATTCTCGTTTGAACACTAATCATAACGCTATTAGAAAAGACACCATAAACGTCTCCACCTCAAAAGCTAGCAATGATACAATATTGAGCAATATTACAAAAAGCAAAAATATAAATGTACAAACGAATAACACTCTTTTTAATACGGATAACAACAATTCTAATAGTGTAAAAGGTATGGAGACCGTAGAATCTGTGACCAATACTACCACTGACAAAGGTTCCATAAAAACCAAGAATAATACAGAAGTGAATGTTATCACGTCAACAAATGTCGTTAACCCTAAACTTAAAGAAACCGTGGCTACAACTCCCAAAACTTCCAAAACGTCAGTGACAATTGACAAAAATGGGACATCAACATTTGATTCTGTTTCTAAAAAAATCACGACTAAAACGAATGTTGGGGTGCCAAATTCTGTCAGTGCAGGACCTAAAGCGCTTGTAGTACCAAGCAATTATACTCAAGAAGAAGAAGTATTTTGCAATTGGGATTTGTGTAATATGTCATTTACAACAAAGCCAGATTTGAAAAAGCATGTAATGTATACTCATTTTCGAGATCATGAGAAAGAGTTGAAACCATTCATATTGACATTAAATCGTTAGTTCTTATAGGAAATGATTTACGGAGCAGTTGATTATTAGGTCTAAGAATAGTTGTGATATCTTTTTACAAAAAGAATCATGCGAAGCCACAAAACAATAACGAAAATACATTGTTGTTTCACTGCATTATGCTTGTGTGATCAAAGAGAATGAGTATATAGAACATATATTATTGCTACGCTAGGATTTATTGCCTTCTTTGAAGATCTATAGTTCTTAAAAGTTATAAATTCTTATGAATAGGTTTATACCTAGCTTCAGTAATAATTTCAAATAAAGAAATCTAGTTTTGTTGATAGATCCGATGTTGAATTTCTATTACATAGTTTGCACATACGTACGTAAGTAATTGGTAAAGAAATGTTTAAGATCGATTGTTACACGAGGTATAGTATCATAATGATTAGGTGATCTTGTCTTTATAAATACTGATTGATTTTTACGATAATCTAAATCTAAATAGTTAGTCGATTAACTCTGAGCGGAGTTTCTGACAAATGCTTGCTAACATTTTAATTAGAACTTAATTAGAGTGAAGATGTTAATCCCCTTATTGTAGTCAAAACTCGAATTAGTGAACAAATTACGTACTAATTTCGTAATTATACAGTAAATATCAATTAGTTATTTTTGCAATTATATAACAAAAATTAGACAGTACGTATAGTTTTTTAGTATAGAATTAATAAATAGTTTAATTAAAATTGTTTAATAGATTAACTGTAACGTAGATTTTTCGATTTAAAGATTAAAACCAATAATTTGTTATATATAAATATTATTAGAAGAAAGTTGTTAATCAAAATTTGAAACAAAAGTTTATTAATATATTATAATTTTTAATTGTTAAATATTACGGTTATTTTATTATATAGTCATTTCTTATATAACTATATTATGTATAATTGTATTTATTTTTTTGGTATTTAAAAAATGTTTGCTGTATTTAACTATATTATTGTATAAAAAAAAATTGTATAGTTATTATATATTATTTAAAAAACTGTAATTAATTTTTTTATTTTAAGCAGTTTAAAGTTTTATAAATAAATCTGTAAAAGCAAGTTTTTAAAAATTATTATACTTATTTTTTTAAAACAATTTTCAGAATTTTAAATCTAATTACAAAATACAAAATAAAGCTTAGTCAATAAATAATTATTTTATTTTTGTATAATTAGCTAAATATAAAAAATGTTTAGTACAATTAAGCAAAAATTTAATAAGCAAATATAATTAAATCTTAATATAATTCAAAATTGATTACATTCCTTTTTGTTCTAGTACTTAGGCTGTAGCAAAGTCTATCACCTGGCAGTAAGGCACAAAGAATCTTTTTGTTAATTTATTTACCTACTTTACAGATCTTAACAGAGCTGTGATTATACAAAATTCATTTAAAACTTAGTATTACTTTATAGCATATTTCTAGTACTTTAGTATACTTCTGTTTTTGTTTTCTAATTTTTAATTTAGATGGCCTGTATAAAACTATAACTAGTTTATTAGTATATTGAATCAGCTTAGTATTCTTTTCTTTAATTCTCTTAGTCTTTATTGTAGTATCATCAAAGATCAATATTATCTTTTTACTTAGATTTTTCTAAATAAGTTTTTTGTTTTTCAATTTTAATAAATTTATACAGTTATAAAAATTTATTTTAGAATTGCATTGCCTAATGCCAGTTTGCACTTTTCTGTATAACTAATTATACAAATATCCTATAATCTGCCAGTCATGTTAATGCAATTATTACTACAGATATTTTAATCTAATTGTTAAAAACAGTTGTCATAATATAGATAAAAATAGAATAGACCAATTCTTTTTTTTTTTTTTTTTTTTGGAGTTAAGGTGAGGTCATGCCTCAGGTCTGTTTATTCGAACATATTGTTACAGTTT